TAAAAAGAAGAGCAGTTTTCAGCAGACCTCATCACACTGCAGCTTTTGTTTTGTCTAATGGGAGCTGAAATTTGTTTCCCAGATGAGGCTGTTGAGTGTTTTTAAAGGTCAAAGCTACAAGAGATTTTTAAAATTAGTTATTCAGGCTTACTAAAAAGTAATACCAATGCACCAGTAGCCTTATGCATACAATTTGTTTGCTCTTGAATATAAAACAAATGTAATGTCAAAACCAGGGGAAAAAATCATCTACTGTAAGTATTCTCCTTACAGCAATTTTTTTCTCAATCATGAAGTTAAATTGAGTTCTTTTTGTTCTGTAAGGTTAGTTATTGTTAGAAGAAAGTCTCTGGAAACCTAAAGCAGTTGGAAAATGAAAAAGCATGGAAACCACAAGAGGTTGATTTCACTTGAATTTTCTTGAGATAAATCACACCGTTCACTAATTGATGTCATTGTGGAATATCTTTAAGAAAAGAAAAGAAAAAAAGAAAAAAAAAGAAAGAAGAGAAGGGAAGGGAAGGGAAGGGAAGGAAGGAAGGGAAGGGAAGGGAAGGGAAGGGAAGGAAGGAAGGGAAGGAAGGAAGGAAGGAAGGGAAGGGAAAGAGGAAAGAGGAAAGGGAAAGGGGAAGGGGGAAGGGAAGGGGAAGGGAGGGAAGGGAAGGGGAAGGAGGAAGGAGGGAGGAAGGAAAGGGGAAAGGAAGGGAGAAGGAAGGGATGGAAAGGAGGAAAGAGAGTATCTGTACCTAAAGAACCCCCAAAGGACCTCTGTGCCAGAAACCATAGTCACTTTATGTGAATTCCTATTTTCTTCTTACGATCACCCTTATCAGGACTGGGAATTTAAAGAATGTGCAATGAAGTTAGGTAACCAAAATCCACACAGGATGTAGATACATGTATACCTTCTCAGTAAATGCTTCTTAATGCTGAAGAGCTCTGTGCAGCTCTGCTGGTTTTCTCTCAGTTAGGAGCAAGACTTTTCTCTCAGTTAGGAGCATGTCCAGCATATCGGATGCACCATAGTATGGCATTCAGGTCTCAAGTTCTGCTAAAAAAGGAAAGATGTGCAGAATATATGGTAATTAAATGAAATTGTCTGTTCTTTGGTCTTAAAGCTCATGCATAGTTTTGGGTTTGGGAATCAGACAACAAACTGTTTCTACCTTTTTGTGTTGTCCTACAGTCAGATGTTGCTTTTGCTTAAATTACAGATGGAAAAGAAAATACAGGGGAACTTATCAGACTGGGAATGTTCATAGAATATCCACTCAAACATAATACAGCATTGTGTCTCTAAAAATTGCCTCTAGGTGTTTGTGCATATATTTTGTTGAAGGCAATTATTGCATCATGTCATGCTGCAATATTATCCACAGTCTTGATCCAATCCAGTATGTCCAACTTGACTTATGGTGACAACTAGTCATCACTTTGGAATTAGGCTAGCTCCCATGTTGAATTGCACTATAACACTAGTTTACCTATGTAAAAATAGAGTGAAAATGTCACCTTGCAGTTGACAAGATAGTATGACAGCTAAGAAGACCTCTTTTTTAATCTGAGCTGCACCGACCATTCAGTAAGAGACTCTAGCAATTCTGTCCTTTCACTTTGTAACTGTGTTGTCTTATCATAGATAAAACATTTAAAAACAATTCACACTTTGTTTGCAGAGACTGCTACTGTCTATCTTGCATCCTAAATTTACAAATATTGTTTAAAAATGAAAAGAGTGTGATCCATGGACTGGATACTTTCCATTTAAGCCTGTATAGAGCATGTAATGGTTTGAAATAGCACTCTTCATCTTTTCAGTATCTCAATGTGCCTTAGACCTTATTTACTTCCAACTACCTCACAGAAGTGCATAGGCTTCCTTAGACTCTCTGGCTAATAAAGGAAATCTGAAAAAAACATGCTTGTAACATAAGACATATCCAGGACATATACTGTCATAAAAATGAATCATCACCTAAAATGAGGAAAAATTATTTCCAGCATTAACACTGCTCATGACAGCCTATTTTGGCAGCAAAAAAATTTCACAAGATATATACTTTAAAACACTGTACAATTCTGTTTTATATAGATCCTCCTCTCCCACCCAGTACTTGAGTGCCTTCCAGGAGCACATTAAGTAATATGACTAATGTATGTCTCATCTTCATTCTTTTACCTTGAGCTGAAATGTTACATTATTTTTCAAAAACTACCTGCAAGCTGATGAAATATCATCTTTGCAATGAACATAAAATTTTTACATCACTTGGAAGACCATGGAAAAATTCAATCTCTGCAGAAACACATACAGTTTCTCCTGACATAACTGAACAAGTAGCCAGCTGTGTCAGGACAGTTTTTATACATAAGCATTGCAAAGCAGACTCCTTTCTTGATATATGGAAGTTTTGGGGACTAAAAAAGTATGCAATCATTCACAGTACAACTAATTTTTCTGAATGGGAGTTGATTGAGAATTCACTAATTAGTACAACATGGGAGATCTCTGTCTGGAAGTAAAAAGGTGTCCAATTCTGTAGTTGTTGATTTATTATTCTGATCCTGCATAGGGTTACTGATGCAGATAGCTCTCTTAAACTAACTGTCTTTTGTATCAGGGTGTACGGAAGGTCTAACTTTTTAATGGCATAATTTACCTTAAGCAGCAGCTCTCAAAGACTGGAGACCTGTAAGAAGACTAAAAATTAAATAAATGTACTGCTATTTAGAAGACATTAACTCTCCTACAAAATTAATATGTATGGTGTCACATTTGGAATAGCATGAAATTTAAGCTTGTAGAGTTACTGATAATGTTTGTACCACAGTATAAATAAAGATTGTGACCAGCATGGACCACATGGTTCTAGATGCTGCACAAGCAGAGCATAATTGTCTACCCTTCTTAGTTGGCTTCCAACAAACTAACTGGGAAATTAATAAATAATAGCTCTAAACAAAGAAAGAGTGGGCTGACAATCTCAGACACGGAATGTCAGCAAACTCAATTAAGCTTTGCTGTGACTGACTTATGCAATGGCATGATCTTCTAAGATAAATAGTGGGATTCACAGTATGGCTAGGAATTGTGAGGAGCCATCATGTGAATTGCTTATAGCATCCTCCCAGCATATACAGCCATTTTTGGGAGAGAAGACAAGGGGCCCTGATTCACTGTTTTCGTGACTGTCTTTCCCACTTGTCGTTCAATTGCACTTCTGTGAAATCCCGGCTCCAAACTTAAACCAAAATTTAATTTAAGCCCCAGGTTCTCTGCCATCTTTTTTGCCTTCCAGACTGTGTGGCTAGAGAGCTACATGTATTCAGCAGTGCAGTGTGCATTATTTTTAGAAGACGAAATGCTGGATGCATGAAGTAGTAATCAGAGTGATCCAGATGTCAAAGATACCACCACATCGGGCTTAGCAGTGAAAAACAGCTTTGTTTCGCTTTCCCTTAAACAGAAGACTGAAGGTTGTAGATGTCAGATTATTCTATTCAGCAACAAAATTTTGATGGGGGGCTGTCTTTCTTTAATTTCGTTTTTGTTTTGGTTTTATTCTTTTCCTACATAAACTATTTAGCAAAAGCCTCTCCTTTTCCGGATGGAATTTATTCCTTATGAAAAGCCATGGTTTTAATGACAGTTTAGACATTCATATATTTATTAGACTGTATTTTCCCTTTAATAAATGCTTTGATGTAGTTGGTATGCTCTTAATGTTCTCTGTATATATTTTCATAATAACCCCTTTCCAGTTATCTGAGAGACCAAAGACTGCAACTCTGCACAACTTCTGCCAAAAATAACAGTTTCTTTTCTTACTGAGTCCTGGTAGACTGGCAAACAGTGTTTGGTGGATTCTGCTTTTAGCAGATCACGGTTGCAAATTCTCAAATTTAATGTGGTTTTTTTTCTTATGTAGTCTTAAATTCCATCCTGTCTTTATCATGCAATGGTTCTGTAGTAGGGCACTATGTTAAAAGACTATTCACATTGTATCATTAGCCAAGACTCCTTGTAAGGAGTCATCACATCACTACAGTTAGCACACACAGTTGTGTCTATGGGCAATGGCCACAAATTTAGCATCTGCTATCCCAGAGTTGGTGTGTGAAGAGTCCTGCATCACTGCAAACCATTTAATTGCAGTAAATATAAGTATTTTGCCAAAGGTTTTGCCCTCTCTACCTTTCTGTCTGCAATGCCCTATTTACAGGCCACAGAAGTTATAGAGCTCTTTTCCAAAGGTGGCTTGAGGTTGAGAACAAACCCTATAGGAAGATGGAATCTTCTGAAAAGCAGAAGACACTGTGCCCACTTTGGTCAACTGTGTTTAAAGAACTGTTGTATACACTCAGTGATTTTTTTGAGGAAAACCTAACTGCCAAGAATCTGAACAGAAGAGATGATTACATATTTCCACTGTATTCCATGGGCTTGGTTTCCAATAAGAATAATTTCCACAAGGCAAAATTTAAAAGTAGGTTTTGATTTGGGCCTGGGTAGATAAAAGGCACAGAAGCAGTAGTCTGAAATCCTTTCAAAAAAACTTTAAGGTCTGCTCTTCCAAAATAAACAACTAGCACAAACTGAAATTAGTAGGCTGGTTGTGATATGATTGGGTGGAGGGTTTAAGCACTGTTTTTCAGTAGAGTAAAAAATTATTGAAAATACTGAGATTTTCTTAGCATTACCTAGACATGTAACACTTTTAAGAAGAATTCTTCTCATTTCCTCTCAGGTGTCTTTCAAGTTCTCTTCAAGAACATTTGCAAATAAATATTTAGATTTATTTCTGTGGTTTTCTTCTACATTGTAAAAAATTTAATCAAAACAGAATTTCTAAAATCATTAAATTTGCAGTTAAATCAATATATTAATGACTTTACTTTTAGCTTAGAATATTTGTATACTGGCTATGGAGGATGCAGTCAGAAAACCTTTCGTACCTTACTGTTACAACTGTTAACACCTGCTTTTTTTTTCCCTGCAGAGTTTTTCCGAGAACTTCTGGAGAATGCAGAAAGATCCTTAAATGACATGTTTGTCCGGACATACGGCATGCTGTACATGCAGAACTCTGAGGTGTTCCAGGACCTCTTCACGGAGCTGAAGCGGTATTACACAGGAGGCAATGTGAACTTGGAGGAAATGCTGAATGATTTCTGGGCTCGGCTGCTGGAGCGGATGTTCCAGCTCATAAACCCCCAGTACCACTTCAGTGAAGACTACCTGGAGTGTGTCAGCAAGTACACAGACCAGCTGAAGCCATTTGGAGATGTACCCAGGAAGCTGAAGGTTCAAGTGACTAGAGCCTTCATTGCCGCACGGACCTTTGTTCAGGGGCTGACAGTAGGCAGAGAGGTTGCGAACAGAGTATCCAAGGTAATCTAAAATCAGGGTTTTTTTAAGCTTGAATTTGTTCTAAACTTTCCAGACAATTGAAATCTGGTTGTGTGCTTTTTTTTTTTTTTTTCCCAATGTGAGGCAGTATGTCTGGTTGTTTTTTATGTCCACGATACACCCATCCCAAGTTTATAAATAGAGGCAACAGTTGTTTTTAATTCCTTCTGGGGATATTAATGCAGTACTGACTGACTCAAAAGCATTTCTTTGTGCTTAGGACACAATGAAATACAAATATAGATCAATGTTTTAGCATGGTAGTGATTGTCATTTGTAATTCAAAACTGGCTACATATGTAAAAGATGAGGATTATGATCAGAATTTAAATGTTTCAAGCAAATTTATACTGCTGTTCATTAGGACAGTACAGCCCTCACAGCATTCATTCATCATGCAGCTGGGTGATGGATTTTGTTAGAAATGTCTAGTCATGTTTCTGATGAGAAAATAGACAACTAGTGACACCTCTGGAGCTTGAGCTTTCCCAAAGGATGGTTTGACTCACATTTATTTTAGTCTTGATTATTTATCTATGCAAATATTTGTGACGATTATAATCCTGGAGGGCTTCACATAATTAAAGCTATGTAAGAAGAAAACACACACAAAAATAACTCATCTGGGTACCACAAATACGCCTAAATTACTTTTTCTTGTACAGTATTTCAAACTCAAGTATATTTTTCTTAAATGCAATTCCAACTGCATACTTGTTCTGTGATCTTGCCATTTCACACTCCTGATAGTGTGTTTGGACCTTGAATTCTGAAATGATCTAGTGAGATCCACTGTGACATGCTCAAATACTCACTTTTGAACAATAAGTGCATGAATGATTTTGGTGGTTGGCCCATCCAATACTTTACCTCAAGCAGACTGTCTCATTTGCTTCATTTAAGTCATAGCTGGAAGGTAAGGTAGAGACAATATATATTGTACAGTAGACTTCAATTCAAGCACTCAAAAAGATGAGGCTTTCTATACTTTTCTTAACCTGTATTATGTGATATTTTGCAATTACAAATTGAGAAGGTACGGAGGCAGAGAAGGGCTCCATGTCATGAAGGGAGAACCTGATTTTATGCCTCGGAGACTGCATTGAAGAAAAAAAGTCATTTTGCACTTAAAATTTGATGAGTGAAATATGTGATCCTGGTTAATCAACTAGAACCAAGTCTCTTCCTCCCAGTTGCATTCCTGGGCTACAGTGTTTTCTTCCTTTGTTTTCTGGCACTACCAGTTCTTGCCGTCCTTTCTGAATAGTGGCAGAACATCAGCATGAAATCCCAGACTGCCTAGTCTGACTGGGGACAGATACAGCTTTTTAACCTCCAAGGGTTCAGAATCTGCAGCCCAGATTTCCTCTGAAGAGCGACGATATCCCCATGGGTCACATTTAAGTGAAAGTGCTGAACTCTGATGTCACTGTTGTCAACGGGTACTGAGTCTTGCTGCATTAACTGCATCAGACTGTAGTGAGTAATTCATGTAATACATGTATAATTTGAGAATCCCTCACAGATTAAGGTCTGAACTGTCTGCTGAGATGTCACTTTCCCTGTGTATGTACATGACTGTACAGAATGTGCAGATGCCTACTCTCTCACATATCCAGGAAATGTTTTCATCTCAGCCTCTGGGTTTTGGCTACATAAGCTCTTTCAAGAACAGGATTTATCACAAGATCACTAAGTGATCCTATGATCCTATAATGAGAACTACTAGCTCTGCAGTCATAAAGTGGGCTTTTTGTAGTGTCACTTGAAGATGATAACAATAGCTCAATAACACTTCTGGTTTTTTTCTTTTAACATGAAAGCAAGACTTGAAATAATCTTTAAAAGGGCTCAGTGGTTTGGTGCAGGATGCACAATAGTGACACTCTATTAGACTGCATCTAGAATACTGTGTTCAGTTTTTGGCCCTTCCTATAAAAGAAAGACATTGACAAACTGAAGTGAGTTCAGTGAAGGTGACCAGCATGATCTCGACTGGATTATTTGTCCTGTGAGGAGAGGCTGCAGGACTGGGGCTTATTCATCCTGCAGACGACAGTGCTTTGAGGGCACTTAGCAGTAGCTCCTGGACTGGTAAGGAGGTCATTAAAGAAATGCCGCAAAGTTCTTCACAGTGGGGCATGGTGTGGTAGGATGGGCATGAATTGAAGCATTTCTCCTTGTCCTATCATAGCAAGCCCTAGTAAAAATCCCATCCCCATCTTTCTTATAAGTCTCCTTTAAGTACTGGAAGGCTGCTAATAAAGTCTACCTAGTTTCTCTTTTCCTGGCTGAAGGACCCCAAATCTCTGAGCCTGTCTTCATAGCAGAGGTACTCCAGCCCTCTGACCATCTTTGTGGCCCTCCTCTGGACTCAGTACAACAGGTCTACATCTTTCCTATGCTTGGGATTCTAGAGATGGATGAAGTAGTCCAGATGGGGTCTCATGAGAGCAGAATACAGGGGCAGAATCACCTCCCTTGACCTGCTAGTCATGTTTCTTTAGGATCATTACCCTGTGATCTTATCAGAAGATTAATAAAATGAATATTTTTTATTAAACATAGAATATACTTTGATTGCAAGACTAATTTTTGTATTAAAATCTCAGTGTCTGTATTCATTCACAGAGCAAATGATAAACAATCGCTGGTTTTGGGACTTTGTGTTACATGCAGCCTAGTGATACAGATATGAAGAATCATAAGTGGCACCAAATGTTCAAGATTAATAATTTTCCTGTGAAGAGGCTGTGATTATTCTGAGAACAAAGCTTTTATGTTCCTATTATAACTGTGATCTTCATGCTGGTTTATCTACTATAGAAAATGACAAATCCTTTTCTTTAATTTTAAAAGACTACAACCGTTTCTTGGAGTTAGAATATAACTTTGCAACCAAAAATGAGACAGGTAAACATCTTTTGTTGCTGTTTTGGAAGTCATCCAGATTAGCATGGATTTCATTCTCATTGTACTCTAATATTGAGAGATTCTGTGATAAGGATGCCACATCTGGGTAAGTCAAGAGAAACAAATAAAAGAGAAAATTAAAAGTGGAACTGTTGGAGTTCTTTTACAGAATCATTTGTCCATTGTCAGCACTGGTTGGGAACAGAGGGGGATCTTTTAGCTGCAACATCACAAGCTTAAAAGATTTTTCCTTTCTATTTGTGGAGCCATTATCTCACTGAACTGCCACTGACATAGAAAAATGTTGAGCCTACACCTTAAACACCATGAGGAAGAGATTCACTAACGAGAAAGTTGATAGCAACATATCCTTTGGGCCTTTAATTTACTTTCTCATTGTCTTCTGGACCATTTCTGTGGAGGAATTGGTGGGTCACACGTACAGAAGGATATTTTTCCCTCTCTAATGTCAGGGACACATCCTTTTTAAAGATTTCTCTTCAGAGAGGATATAATGTCTGAAAACACTGCAGTCAGTGCATTCTTTGTGAAGGAGCTACACTCCCCTCTTTTTCAAATTAAATATGCACTCAAGCACACTAAAAGTAGGCAACATGTATAGCAAACGTTTTCCTCTTATAGTATTGTTTTGCAATTTTGTAATTTTCTTCTCAGTGACATTGTAATTTAACAAGTCCCATTTGGATAAATGAGGAAGGATTGTGCTTAGGACATCTTATTTTCGTATTTTTTTCCATTGTATTTCAATTGTAAGCAGTCATAGTTGCTTCTGTCTACTTGAAGTTTTATTACGCCATTTTAGTTGGACAGTATTTTTATAATCTCAAAGTCCAATTACAGTTCTTAATTTTCAGAGCTTTTAATTTTTTTTTATTTCTCATTCTAATGCATTAAAAATTTGTTAGTGTTACATTGCTATGCCGCTTAAATCTCCACTCAATGCAGTATATTTCCACTGGCTTGAATAGACCGGGTCAGTAAATTCTATATATGGTTTAGAAAGCTGCATATGCAAATAACCTAAAAAGTAATTATAGTATTTCCTAAAGTGATACATTTAATTCTTAAGATAAGCCTATTTATTCATCAATATAGAAGAAGCCTAGAATGTCTCAAGTAGGAAGGGAAGCATAAAAATCATCGAGTCCAACTCCCTGCCTCTCACAGGTCTGCCTAAACTAAACCATATGACTGAAAGCATCACCCAGACATTACTTGAACTCCAACAGGCTTCATTCCATGGGGAGACTGTTTCAGTGACCAGGCACCCTCTCGGTGAAGAAACTTTCTGTAATGTCCAATCCGAACTTGCCCTGATGCAGCTTCAATATATAGTATTCAATATACAACATTGGAATTGCCTTTTTGGGTACATCAAAGGTACATCAGTTGATTTTGCCTTAATGCCTAGTAGTTTAAAGGTCAGCAGAGGAGCAGAGTTCTCAACTAGCGTATTTTCTTAAGCTGTAGGAAGGAGATGTTTATGGACTCTTTGAACTACTGGCTCAGAAATTGGAAAAATTTTCTACCGCCTATTTTTCCAGTAGTTTGTCAGATTCTAAAAACCTGACTTTTCTTCTTTGTTACCATTTGGTAGGGGAAAAAAAGAAAGTGTGCTATCCTTTTCTTTTACTCTGTAAAAATAGAACATATTAAAATGTTACTTGTTTTTAATTTATTAAATTTTTCTTAATTTTTTTTTTCTGGATAAAAGAAATAAGTAAAATAAATAACCAAACAACCAAAAACAAAACCAAACCAAACAAAAAAACCCCAAACAAAACAAAACAAAGCAAAAACAAAAACAAAAAACACAAACAAAAAAAAAAAGCAAGCCAGCTGTAATTCAGTATTTAATTTTAAACTAGAGAAACTGCTGAAAATATTTCTTAAGTTACTGCTATCTGTGATTAGCAATAATGTGATAGAAAAGATGTACGCATACTTTTCATGTTCATCTTTTACTATGTCTGAACTCTGGATACTTTGTAAGAAAATAATGCTAAGTTATTCTTTCTGACTCCAAACAAAGCATTCTCAGTAATCAT